CTAGTGGCCGAACCTAAGCTTGGACTTGCTCGCCTTTGCCTTATCTGGGGGTATCTTGGACTGGATTCACTAAAATTTTACATGTTTTAATTTAGATACACTTATAACTATCAAGTGAAAATTACACCAAACCCTACATTTAAATTTTCAATTTCAAAAATTAGATTATAATTATTTTTTTAATTTAAACATAAATAACAATTCCTCATCTAATATCCAAATCCCAAACCCTAATATATTTCCTCAATCCACCATACCTCTGTCCCCATCCTCTGTCCCCATCGCACTTCTAGTCGTCGTCTGGTAAGTACTCTCCTCACATACCAAGTCCCAGCTGTAGTACAGTAAGTAGCATTGGGACCTTGCCGTTCTCAGTAGCGACGCCCAATATTGCTGCAGCAGCGATACGATGCTGTTACGAACTCACGACAGCGCCAAAGCTGTGACGAACTGGAAGCGTTGAGAGCTCAATTAATAGTTCTTCAACGTGCGGTTGGCAATGGGAAAGCCCCCACAAGAGAGCATGTTCCTAGATTCAGAATATCGGAACCGTGTACCTACGGAGGGGTATACGATGTAAAAGAAGTCGAGAACTTCTTGTTTGATATGGAACAATATTTTCTTGCGGCTTAGATCGAAGATGAAGCAATAAAGGTTACAACAACGACCATGTATCTTGGTGGAGAAAGAAAACTATGGCGGCGAACAAAGTATGCTGATATTCAGGCCAACATGGTCTGAATAGATTTTTGGGATCTCCTTAAAGAGGCGATCAGATCTCAATTTTTTCCAGAGAAAGTGGAATATTAGGCACGACGTGCACTACGAGAACTGAAACATACAAGTTCCATCAGAGAGTAAGTGAAAGTCTTTTCAAGGCATACGTTGAATATTTGAGACACGTCGGAAAATGATAAGCTATTCACCTTCATGGAAGAGTTGACACAGTGAACACGCAAGAAACTTCAGAGACAGAAGGTTGCTGATTTGAGTGCGGTAACCACCAAATGTTTAAGTGACTATCAACCTGAGTCGAGAAAAGATCGACCTTCAGGGAGTAGTCAAGCTATTGGAGGTGGAAGCAAACCTTATAGACTCAGCTCGAACTCAAATGGGGGAGAGCATTACTCTAATAATAAGGAAGGAGCCTATCAAGGCACCCGTCAGAGTAACTTTCAAGGGAAATATCAAAACAATCGTCAAGGAAACTATGACGGCAGTAGTAGTAACAACTGGAATAAAGGAAAATCAACGGATGGCAGATCTGATGCCACTCCTAAATTGATGTATTTTTTATGTGAAGGACCCCGTCGGGTGGCGAAGTGTCCTAAAAACGGATGGTGAATGCATACTGTCAACTAGCGAGTGGCCGAATGAGTTGAAATTAAGATATCCCACAAGCTAGTTGTTACTGTGAGACTGACTCCAAAGAGGATAAAGATGTAGTTGGTGCATTCTCATATCGGTGCAATATTATCGTACCGAGCTACTAAAAAAGATGATGTTACCCGAAAGAGGTAAAGATAGAAGAATCAAAGGCTCGCATTTGTAGCGTCAATGACCTAATGTACATTGATGTGAAGATCAATGGAAAGCCAATAAAGGCTATGGTAGATACTAGTGTTACCCATAACTACCTCGCAAGTATAGAAGTAGAGCAGCTCGAATTTGTTATGGAAAAAGGTAATGGAAAGGTCAAAGCAATCAACTCCGCTACTCAACCAATAGCCGGAGTAGCAAAATCTGTGTCAATCAAAGCATGTCCTTTCAAAAGAATGACAAATTTGTCGAAAGTTCAGATGGATGACTTCAAGCTTATTTTGGAATTAGAATTTCTTCGGGATACTAAGACAGAGTGTTGCCATATTCCGATTCATTAATGATGATGGTAGTAAATCGTGCGTCATCATGACACAAGCTGAGAAGATGAGTGAGAAGAGTATTTTGACCATGCAATTTGGTAAGGGTTTCAAAAGAAATGAACCATCATTTTTGTGCACTCTTCGATTAGAAGAGATCAAGGAGACAACTGGTCCTATTCCAAAGCCGGTCAGAAGGCTTATTACGAAATTTGAGGACATCATGCCGGATGAGTTACAAAAGAAGTTGCCACCAAGGAGGGTAATCGATCATGAGATTGAGCTTATTCCAGATGCCAAACCTCCCGCTAGGGCACCCTACAGTATGTCTCAGCTGGAACTTGAAGAGTTTCATAAACAATTGGGATAAATGTTGGAAAGTGGGATTATCGTACCTGCGAAATCACCATATGGAGCTCCCGTGTTGTTTTAGAAAAAGGTTAATGGTTCTCTTAGAATGTGCTATGACTATCGAGCTTTGAATAAGATCACTTGTGAAGAATAGCTACCCTATTCCACTAGTCGTGGATTTCTTCGACCGACTGAGCTGGACAAGGTATTATACAAAGATCGATCTCAGGTCCGGATACTGGAAAGTTCGGATCAAAGAGGGAGATGAAGCAAAAACACGGTAGTAACCAGCTTAGGTTATGCAATTACTATCGAAGATTTGTAAAAGGATATTCAGAAATTTTATTGCCACTTAATGAATTAACAAAGAAGGATAAGGATTAAGACTTGTCATTTCAATGCCAAAATGCCTTCGAGAAGTTGAAGAAATAGATGTGGACGAACCCAGTGTTAGCTTGTCGGATATGGCTAAACCATTCGAAGTGCATACCGATGCTTCAGACTTTGCACTTGGTGGAGTTCTTATGCAAGAAGGACATCTGGTAGCATATGAAAGCCGAAAGCTAAATCAAGAAGAACGTCGTTAATCGGCGTACGAAAAGGAATTGTTGGCAGTAGTCCATTTCCTTAGAGGATGGCGTCACTATTTGCTTGGGTCTCCATTTATTGTGAAGACAGATAACATTGCGGTTAGTCACTTCATGTCCCAACCGAAACTATCAAGCAAGCAGGCTCGTTGGTAGGAACTTCTTTCAGAGTTAAATTTTATGCTAGGGTACTATCCCGGATCTAGTAATCATGTGGCCGATGCTCTTAGTCTCGGGGTCGACTTGTCCACCATTTTCTCTATGACTTCTCTTTCAGGGAGCGTAGTTACCACAAACACAAGGGACCAAATTCGGGCACTTTTAGATAAGGACCAGCTACTCAATATTTAGTCGACCTCATCAAATAGGGCAAAACTTGTCAGTTTTGGCTCGAGGGGAGACCGCCTATATGTCCCTAAGGGCGCAGATTTGAGAAAATCACTAATCACAGAATGCTACGACACTATTTGGGCATGGCATCCCGAAGAGGAACGCACTGCTGCACTATTACAACGTGCATACTACTGGCTCAAATGCAACGACATTACAACTTATGTGAAAACTTGTCTTGTTTGTCAGCAAGATAAGGTAGATCATCAGAAAAAGGCAGGCTTGCTGGAGCCCCTTTTCGTCCCAACTAGACCATTCGATGGACCACATTGTTGGATTGCCAAAAGTTGGAGATTTTGGCACTATTATCGTCGTGATAGATCGTCTATCAAAGTACGCAACTTTTATTGCAGCGCCCTTATGTATCAGCCGAAGAGATAGCTCAACTCTTCTTCAAACATATTGTCAAATACTGGGGGACTGCCTAAGGATATCGTCAGTGATCGGAATCCTCAATTCGATTTTGGATCGAGTTGTTCAAACTTCTCGGTTCAACATTGAGCATAAGTTCTAGTTTTCACCCACAATCTGACGGACAGAGGTAGCGCTTTAACTCTATGCTAGAAGAATATTTTCGGTACTTTATCTCTACTTTGTAGAAAAATTGGGTGAGACTTTTGGATGCGGCTCAAATGTGTTTCAATGTCCAAAAGTGTTCTTCCACCAATAAGAGTCTTTTTGAGATTACTACTAGCTAGCAACCGTTACTCCCTTATACTTTGGATATTGATCAAATTACAAAATCCCCTCAAGAAAAAAGCTTCTCTCAAGAGTGGAAACGAAACATTGAAATTACTCGGAGTTATCTTGAGAAAGCTCAGAAACGGTACAAAAAGTCTGCAGATCAAAAAGCGTTGTTTTCTTGAATTTAATGTTGAAGATCTGGTAATGGTTAAACCCCTGACAAAAACATTTATAAACCGACAAGAGGGAAATATTCAAGATTAGTGTCAAAATATATTGGATCATTACCCATCATGAAGAGGATTGGAAGAGTCGTATAAAGAGTTGCACTCCTTTCATGGTGCAAAATCCACAAGGTCCTTTATGTTGATGTACTCAAGCCATACTTTGCCGACAAGGAGAACACATCTAGAAAAGAGCTGAAGTGACAGTATTTGAACTGAGAAAAGTCGGAAAGAAGGTTGCAGTAGCTATACTAGACCATCGTACTACTCGAGTTTTCAGGAAATATCATCAAGAGTACTTAGTCAAATGGAGTGGATGCAGCAGTGAGGAGAATACTTGGGAAAGAGAAAAATACATTGGAGCCTTCAAACTAGTAATTGAAGAATATCATACATTGAGGGCACCGAGGACCGCAGCTTCGACTATCCCCTTGACCCAATTGCAGCCGCAGTTTGCCCAACTTCAGCCGTACATTGTAAATATTAGTTCAAGTTTGAGTTGTAATTTCCTTTCCATTTTAATAGTTTATTTCAATTGTAAAATAGCTCTGATATCCTATCACTTAGGTTTTTGTTCCAAATGATATTATAGGGGGTATTAGTCTTTCAAACAATCTTTCACGAAGACTATTTCCGCACGGTGTCCTTTTCTGTGCCAGAAGAAAGGGACCCCGTGAAACAACGTCACGACGCTTCTGTTGCAGCAATGCAGCGTTGCCCGGATGTGCACTTGAGATGGAGCATGACTTGTAGGAAGACGTAACATGCGGTACTAGAGAAAAATTGGGGTCGATTTCTGATTTTTTTGGGTGATTTCTTCCTACTCCAATCTGATATGCTTACTTAGAGTTTTGTGGTTGTTTTCTTTGTTGGTTGGTGGTTTACTTGATTTCGGTTTGCATAGGATGGTTATTAGTGGTGGTGATGTTGACGATGCTTGTGAGGTGATGGTGTTGGTGTGGTGGTGGTCGGTGATGATGGTTTGTGGGTGGCATATCATGGTGTAGGGTGTTTGTTGACAGCCCAAGACTAGCTCATGAAGAGGGGTGAATTAGCTTTTGAAACTTTTTCAAGAAATTAAGTTATAATCAACAAGTGATAACTAGATAGATTGATTTAAATATCAAACACAAATATGAAAGCAATAAGCGAAGAGGTATAGATAGTGCAAACGATATATTTGTGGAGGTTTGATCCAACGTAATGATCTACGTCCCCCATTACCAAGCTCTCCTGCACGAGCAAGACCAATTTTACTATGTTGATTGACTTGTGGTGCAATCCAACCCTTTACAGTGCTTCCGGTGACTTACAAGCAATGAACACCAATCCTTTTACAACGTTGAGCTTTCCGGGACCTCAACACGACCCACAATTCAAGTAAGTTTACTAAGAAATCATCTCTTCTCAATCAATGATGATTCCAAAGTTGAGTACAAGAAGAGAAGTGGGCTAACACTTTAATAGATATCAATGAATGAAGTTCAAGTGTTAGGTGTGAAAGTCTTTGATGTATGGAATGATTCTCAAGAATTAATTTGATCAAAAGACTTTTCAATTGTAAAGTGATTTGATAATGAGTGATATGAAAAATCAATACAATGTTTGCTCAAAGGAATATCAATTGAATGCTCAAAAGTCCACTTTACAAATGGTAGGTGAGTTGGTATTTATAGCAGTTAAAAAAGCCAACTTCTCTGCCAAACCGGACGACCCATCCGGACGTTCGGTTCTAAACCGAATGAACCAGAAAGTAGCCATTTGAAACTTGTCAAAACGGTCAAAAATTCAACTGTTGCTGGCAAACCGGACGTCCAGTTTGCCATCCGAACGTCCGGATGACTTGAGTTTTTCTGGGTCAAAATTTTGGTTTTGTTTACAGTAAGTAAATGTCTTGCATGACATTTTTTCTAGGTATTTCAAGGCAAGTAAGATTTAATAGTATTCAAGATTAGGTTGAAAAATTTTACCTTTGAAAAAATAATTTTTGCACAAAACATGTTAATGACATGAATTTTTATCATGTATAAAAAATTCATCACTTGAGCTTTCAATGTGTCCTTGCCATGAATTAAGGTGATTTATCTTTAGAGACAAGCTAAAAACATCTAGTTCCAACTAGGGCTGGGCAAAAACCCGCCAACCCGACCCGAACCGACCGGTTTGGGTCGATTTTTTTCATTTTTTTGGGTTGGTTTGGGTTTTTGGTGATGAAGATTGGTCGGGTTGCGGGTTGAACCAAAAACCCGACCCAACCCGACCCACATATTAAAAAAAAAAATCCTCAAATTTCATTTAAACTAAAAGCCGGCAAAACATAGTCACACAGACAAACCAAACCCTAAACTTTAGTAAAGGCTAAACTCTCACTCCACTAGTTTCACATACTCCCACAGGCGGAGGCGGTGTCAACAAGAGCCATAATTTGTCGCCGTCATTTTCTCTCAAATTGCCAATGGAGGTCTTTGTTTTCCAGTTGGCTGGTCATCGTTTTGTCTGCAATCAAGTGCTAGGGTAACTGGGTAAGTATATTTCCTTCATTTCATCATAATTTCTATTTGCTATTTTCTTAGTTGTGCGGCTTGTGCCTGCAATATGTAGTGAGTTCTTATAATTAAGTAATTTTTATTTTACTCCAGAGAAACTTTGAAGGTTTGAATGCTTCAAACTACGATGCCCTGGTAATCCCTGGAGGTCGCGCTCCAGAATACTTGGCCTTGGATGAAAGTGTTATTCAACTGGTGAAGGAATTTATGGAGTCGGGAAACCAATGGCATCCATCTGCTATGGACAACAGATTTTGTTTGCTGCTGGTCGCCTGGTCTTTTGAAGGTTTTTCCCTTAAGGCGCTCGGATTTAATTGGACAGAATCCTCGAGTACGTAAAATACTGAATCCGGTTTACTTGAGTACGTAAATTTAATATGTGGTGTTGAAAAAGCAGGCTGGTTACTTGCTTAGTGTGCAATTCAGGTTGGTGTTTAGTTGCATTAGCATTATGGTTAGTGTCTTTTACTCAAATGAAATTGTTTTTAGTTTCTTGAAATCTATTTAAGGCTTTAATGCATTTACTCTTGAGAATTGTTATAGAAGATTGAACGATCTGCATTCTGTCTTTGACATGCTTTCTGCAGGGTTTCAAAAGCTCGGTTAAATGAATATTCAGAGAAAATTGAAGGTATAGCATCCAAAATAAATACCACTGAGGTGCGTATACTAATGAGCTTCACATGTCGAACTTTTATTTTTCCTGATATAACTAAATGATCTATTTTAATGTTACTATTTGTGTTTTGTTTGGTATGACATAAGAAGTCATTTATTCCAACTACAATCACAATGGAGAATGGCAATGTGGTAAATTAGGGATAGCCGCAATATTTTGTATAATTTTAGCTAAAGAGACTAGTCCCCTTCAAAATTGAACTTTTTATCATTTATGAAAATTCAGAGAAAATTGAAGTTATAGCATCCAAAATAAATACCACCTGCCTCCTGCCTTTACTTTGTTTCTCTAATCACAGCATGCAAATAATACAGTTTCCCTAAGGAATCATGGTTCAAAAGTCTTGCAAATTTCGAACCCGTCCAACTCGACCCAACCTGACCGATATTTGGTTGGGTTGAGTTAGGTTGGGTTTCAATCTTTACGTGGGTTGAGTTGGGTTGCATTTCAATCAAACCGATCATGGTGGGTTGGGTTTGGGTTGGGGCAAAAACCGACCCAACCCAACCCATGCCCACCCCTAGTTCCAACGTCTTTGATTAATTTGGCGCGAGTGCTCTATTTGTTGCTTGATTTTGAAATGGCGCAAAGTTTTTCTTCATGAGTGCTCGATCGATCTTTATTTTGAAGTTCCTTGATCAACAACTTTTCATCCAATAGTTTTGTCTCAAGTTTGGCAACATGTAACAATTTGAAGTTTAGAATTAGAGATAGACACAGTTTGTTTGTTATAATCAAAACATAAGATTTAACCATAGGTCAACAATTTCCCCATTTTTTATTATGACAAACAATAGATGATTTGTAATAAAAGGAATATCTCATTTGATTTATACACTTGCAATGTTCTTCCCCATATGTTTTAAAGATCAAGAATCCCCCATTTCTTATTCATGTTAACACAATAATCATATGCATATTCATCGTATTAAGTATGCAAATCATCGTTCAAATGTTTCTCCCTTTTGGCATAAGCAAAAAGAATATAACATAGAGAAGCATACATAAGAAGATAAATCAAAACATAAGACAAAGAAACCTGGAAGAGAAATAGCAACATGACAATGAAATATTCAACATGTAGCAAATGTTAACATGAAACTAAATGGGAGAAAATTTTCATAGTAAAGTAAATAAAGATAAATTTCATGATAATGTGAAATTGAATTAAGACTAGGACTCCAGAGGAGGTGGTAGAGGAAATTGGGCATAGAAGTGGGTGTAGAAGGCATTCTGTTGTGCCTGCATCGCGCGTTTGTTGAGCTTGAATGGCTTTCTGATGAGCTAGCACTCGATGAAGCATTCTACCGAGGCCATCAACCACGAATGTAAGAGAATCAATACGACCATTCAACACAGTATACCGATCCTCGATGAACGTGAAACTGCTGCATGAGGAAGGAGGGATGCTAGCCCCGGAATGTCAGGAGGATTGTAATGACCTGGGTCCCACTTAACGGGCTGTCTAGACCGTTAGATCGACGACGCACTGTCCCCACTGTACCAACATGAGTCTTTTCAGTATACTTTATCCTCATTCGCACGCTCCCCAATAAAACTTTCCAGGGGGTCACCCTTCATAGAATTATTCCAAGCTAAGCACGCTTAATTGTAGAGTTTCTAACGATGGACTTCTGAAAAAGAAGGTGCACTTTGTTGGTATGAGTAGTACCTATCAAATCTTTTAAACTTTCCTGGTCTGGATATTACAAGGATGGACATGAGCTTCTTGTTCATCATCGTCACCTTCTTCGTCACTCTCAAAGGGTAGAGTTGATGGACCCGAATGGATTCTAATCTAGCCACTGATGCAAAAGTTTCCTCATAATTGATGCCTTCTTCTAATTGTAATCTTGGGCCACCAATCTAGCTTTATTACGCACAATTATTCTATTTTCATCCCGTTTATTTCTAAAAACCCATTTTGTACCCATTTTGTGAAATGAATGCCCAACTACCAAGATAATTTCTAAGAGAGGTTTTAGTAGTGATACCTTTGGATGGATCCCCTATTATTAATTCATTTAGATGAGATGGAACAAACTTTCATTCTTTTCTTAGTGGGGGATCACCTTGAATTTCAATTGATTTTTCTTCACTTTCTTGAGCATCGGGCTCCTTCGTTTGATCTTCGTTAGGCACTTCCTTGTTTTGATTTTGAATGTTCATTTGTTCGAATGGAGCTTCCAAACCTACATCATCATCAATACCTTTCTCATGACCAAGGGGATTAGTCTCATCAAAGGTAACATGCATGGATTTTTCAACGACTAGAGTTCTTTTGTTAAATACTCTATAGGCTTTGCTAGTCGATGAATATCCTATGAAAATACCAATATCAGATTTTGAGTCAAATTTTTCTAAATTATCTTTTGTGTTCAAAATAAAACATTTGCAACCGAAAACTTTAAAGTAGCTGATATTGGGGATTCTATTTTTCCAAATTTCGTATGGAGTTTTGATTTTCTTGCGACTAATCAAGACTCTATTTACAATGTAACAAGCGGTATTGACGGTTTCGGCCCAAAAATATTTTGGTAAGTTATTTTCGTTAAGTATGGATCTAGCCATTTCTTGTAATGTATGATTCGTCCTTACCACTGCACCATTTTGTTTAGGAGTTCTAGGAGCCGAGAAGTTATATTCATATACATTTTCATTGCAAAGATTATCAAAGGCAAGATTATCGAATTCTCCACCATGATCACTTCTAATGGTTGAAATTGAATATCATTTTTCATTTTGAACCTTTTTGCAAAAGTGTTTGAAAGTCTTTAGAGTTTCATCCTTAAGATTCAAGAAAAGAACCCAAGTGAATCTTGAAAAATCATCAACAATAACAAAAGCATAGTGTTTTCCTCCTAAACGAGCGGATCTAGAAGGTCCGAAAAGATCAATGTAGAGTAATTGAAGTGATTTTGTAGTTGATGAATGTAATTTTGATTTGAATGAACTTTTACTTGTTTGCCAAATTGACATGCTTCGCAAATTTGGAAGAATCAAATTTAATATGATACCTTTGTCACACAATTGACTAATGCTACCCTATTATGTTTTGAGATTATCTACCAATAAGACATTGTCAATGGAGGGTGAGCGATTATTACCAATATTTCCGATTCTAATGATTTTTCCTTTAGCATTGTCCCCAAAGGTGACATAGCCCTCATCCTTCCTTTTGAAGTTTGATAATAAGGTTTTATCTTCGGTCATGTATTTTGAACATTCGCTATCTAGGAACCATTTGTTTGTTGTCTTCCTTTGTACCTACAAAAATAATTCAATTTTTTATTTTTGGTACCCATAGAAGTTTGGGTCCTTGGTAGTTAGTTTTAGTGGATTCTCGAGTCCACTTGTTGTCAAAGTATAGCTTCTTTTTGGTTAGACAATTGTAGGCCACATGTCCATTTTTGTTACAAAAGCTACAAGTAATTGTTGAAGAAATTGAATTTGAGGCTTTGACAAATAGATTCTTAAGAGATTTTTGTTTCAAAAAAGGTTTATATCCGATACCTCATTTATTAAAAACACATTTTTGATTGCCGAGCATTAAGTCAAAGTTGTTTTTCCCTTGAGTAAATTTATAAATGATTTTTGTTACATTTTCGACTTTTTTCTTCAAAGAAAAATTTTCTTCGAACAAATCATGCTCTTCATTTTCCCTTTTGGTCTCTATTTCATTTTTTAGTAATTTATGCTTCTTTTTAAGAATAGAATGACTAAGGGTTAACTTTTCAAATTCTTCTCAAATTTCATCATAGGAGGAAGATAAATCGTCATATGAAAAATGTTCAATAGATCTCACATCATCATTGATTGCCATGAAACACATGTTGGCGATCCCTTCTTGACTTTCATCTTCATCGTGATCATTATCGTCGCTTTCATCCCATGTTGTTTGGAATGTCTTTTTCTTGAAAATTTCTTTTTATTTGGACACTCGATTCTTTTGTGGTCGGGTTTGTCACAATCATAGCAAATGATTTTCTTGTTTCTTTCTTTATTCTCGTTTTCCTTCTTTTGAAATTTTCGATTGTTTCGAAACCCTCTCCACTTCTTGACAAGAAGAACTAAATCATCAAACTCATCATCACTCATGTTGTTGCTTGTTGTTCCTTCATCAATTGCTGATTTTAAAGCAATTTGGCGTTTAGGAACCTCATTTGATTCTTCTTTTCTCTTTCTGGTCTTCTCATTGATTTCGGCATTGTTGAGTTCGTAGATCATTTGGTTCCATAGAGTCCTTCCAAAGGATATGTATTCACATACTTAGTGTTCTCTATTAACATCCTTATGGGGCTCCATCCCTCCGAGCGACTAAGCATTTTGCTCACAAGTTCACTGTTAGTAAATTTGCGATCAAATCCTTTTAGTACATTTATAATATCGGTAAAATGAGTAATCATATCAACAATAGATTCATATTGTTTCATAAAGAAATTCTCAAATTCCTTTACTAACATATTAATTTTTGTTTCTTTAATTTTACTAGTGCCGACATGAGTAACGTCTAATGCATATCAAATGTCATATGTGGATTCACAAGTGCTAATGCGATTAAATTTATTTTTATCCAACGCCCAATAGAGTAAATTTTTGGCTTTGGCATTTAAGGATAATTTTCTTTTGTCATCTTCATCAAACTCTTCTCTAGGTTTGGTGATAGTTTGATCGGATTGACCATCTATTTTAATGGTCTTGGTAGGCTTATAGGGACCATACTCAACTACTTCCCAAACATTATAATTAATAGATTGAATATAAATCATCATTCTAGTTTTCCAATAATTGTAGTGTGTGCCATAAAAGAAGGGATGTTGATTTGTGGAGTGTCCTTCATGATTAAATTTTTTTTCAAGAAATTAAGTTATAATCAACAAGTGATAACTAGTTAGATTGATTTAAATATCAAACACAAATATGAAAGC